ATGTGTGTGTGTGTGTAATGGTATGATATTGTTAAGTACTTTATTTTAGGCTGTAGCTCTAGTGGATTTTCATCTATAGTATAATTGCAGTTGCTGTCTAGCATTGTGGTTTTGTTTTAATTACTTACTCAAAATACAACTAAGAAGTTTTGCCTAAAGGCCGGTTCCCACTAAACTTGTCAAGCGAAAGCGTCGAGCGTCACGCGGCAAGCGAAGCGAATCGCGCAAAGTTCACAAGAGTTGACTTTCGGTAAAAGTGTCTCGCTTCCAATGATTCGCTTGCATGTTCCCACTGCTGACCGCGCGCAAAAGCTCGAAATGGCGGGTGGCAACAGAGAAGGGATTTTGTTATCGCATTGATAGACGGAGGAAAAGGGCTGTGAGACGAATCAGATAAAATCCTCAGGATTAACATTCCCAGAACTCTATAATCCCATACAAAAATTTTCTATAGAATTCTATATAAAAAAAATTCTATAGATTTTCTATATAGTATTCTATAGAGTATCAATAGAAAATTTTATATAAGTTCTATAGAATATTTCAAACAAATTTTATAGAAAATATATAAAAATATTCTATACAATCTCTAAAGGATTTCTATACAATTTCTAAAGAAAAGTAGCTTAATTCTCTATAAGAATCTATAGAAATTAAAAGCATTTCTATAGAAAATTACAAGTGTTTCTATAAAAAGTAACGCTGTTATAATTTTTTTTTTTTTTTTATAGAAAACTATTATTTTCTTTAGAAATTCACAATACTTCTATAGAAAAGAACGGCATTTCTATAGAAAGTAACGCTGTTATAATTTCTTTTCTATAGAAAACTATTATTTTCTATAGAAATTCACAATACTTCTATAGAAAAAAACAACATTTCTATAGAAATTATTGCAGATATAATTTTTTCTATAGAAAACTATATAAATCTCTATGGAAAATAACAGCATTTCTACAGCATTTTCTATATTGCAGATATAATATATTTTCTATGGAAAACTGTATTATTCTCTAGAAATGTACAGAATTTCTATAGAAATTTAAATGCTGATATATTATATTTTCTATAGGAAAAAAAACAGCATTTCTATAGAAAATAACGCTGATAAAATAAATTTTCATAGAAATTCACAGCACTTCTCTAGAAAACAACGGTGATATAATTTTTTTATATCTTTCGATCACTAGAAAATTGTTTTCACGAATCAAAAAAAAAAGTGTAAAAATAAAAAATCATAGGCCTACAATATGATTGTAATGTACAAATGTGTTTTGGTAGTTCATGGCAGGAAACATGAAATGTTTGAACCCATTGTACAGAAATCCCAACAAAATGTATTCAGTCTCAAGATCTTTATTTAACACATATTAAACATATATATAACAGGTCAAACAACCAAACTAAAATAATGTTTGCATTGCATCATCTAAAAGTAGAAAAAAAAACTGGATTCAATATCTTAAAAGAATAAACTGTATTGAATTTTACTAGCATTATGAAGTCACACGATGTACCACTAGTGGTATTGTGCAAACATACAGTATACAGATTTATAAAAATAATTTTACAGTATATAATAGCTGTATTTACAGTAAATTGCAGGACTATATAAAATATTATAAATATATTATTAACATCAAGGTGTTACTGTAAGCGATATTGATAAGGGTAGATGAAAGAAATTTTTTGGGCATGACTTGTGTGGGTGTCGAATTTAAAATACCAATAATTATTATATAATTGAGGTCAGACAGTTGACAGTTAACAAGCATTCATTTTGAAAAAGAGTGAAGTATATTG